TAACTTTCTCCCAAGCCTCTAGAACACTAGAACTAAGGAGAAGAAGAAAGAGTAAGATATTTCCTTTCTCCTGACCAGCAACTATTAAAACTTAGATTACTGAAATACTAAACCGCGAGTGTAAACTAGCTATTAAGATACTAAGGACAAAGGAAAAAGAACTAGTGTTTTGAGAACTCTATTTTTAATTGCTATTTAGGATAATTTAAAGAGACTATCCAGTGGTACTGAGTGCTCCGAAATATCAAACCACTTTTCAGTGTCTTACGTTGTGCAGCCAAAATCTGTAGCACTGTCTAGTGATTAAGATATTGTGGTGTTTGCATTAACATTACCTTATTCTTAGTACCCACGTAATATTCTTACTGCATTTGACAAGGACTGTTTAAGAGTTAATAGCGCTGTGTAAGACCACTTCTGTCATCTGCAAACACAGTAAGATGCATTATCTTCGGAATTATGTTAGCTCTAGAGTTAACCACAGGATGAAGAGATGCCATCTCCGCAATGAACCTCATTTTAGCACAAGGTAAACATACTTCCCCCACATCAGCTAGTCTCGCAGCATTAGTGGTGCGTTGTGATTGATTACCAGCAGAGTGTTGCTGAGATATGGATTTGTATCTCAGCTTTTTATCACTATGACTTGCAAAAGGCAGTTCCTTATTTACAGACTCTAGCTGTATTAAGTGACATTATTAGGTACTACTTTTGTTTAAGTGACACAAAGGCTTAGCATATTGGTGGTTTATGACATACAAGCTGTTTTAATCTGATGATTTACCCCTCACTTTTTCAATTTGTAAATAGGAGCTGCAGCACAAGAACATATGGTACTAAAGAAATTAAAGCTAAAGTAAATGGCATTAAAACAAATTCAGATATAACAATAGGATACTCAATCTGAATTATAAACCTGGATCTGTATTAAGACTTTTAAAAACAGGAAATAAAAACCAAAATATGAAAATTAACCTTTCAGGTGTTTTTTTAAAGACCATTTCAGGGGTTTACTGTGACTGAGTAATTTCCTTACTAACCCTCATTACTTAGATCTTATAGTTAAATGAATAAACCAGTAAAGATATTTTTTAATAACTGAAACTAGGTTTGAATACCACATTACTAAAAAATTAGTTGTTTACCTTTTTAACTTTTGGGTTCATACCACAGTAATTCTGATACAGTAAAAAAACGTTATGCATTCTTAATTGTTTATTACAGTAAATACATTTGCTTATAAACACCATCGCAGAGCACAAAACCAAAAAAGAGTCCAGCAAAACTGCCAACCTAATGCTCATATTCCATACCAAATATCAATAAAAAGGCAAAGAAAAGAAAAATTACATTTTCCTAACTTTGTAATACTACAGCAGCTTACTCAGAAAAGGAATTTCATTATACTTTTCGTGTAAATAGGAAGATTTCCCTCATTATTATTCTGCAGATAAGCTCCAACCTCTAGCATATGAAGCATCACGTACCATAAAGGGTCCAAAGTAAAGATGTTCCTTATGTACTTCAAGCACGTGCCTAATTTATACCAATCAATTTGATATGTGGGATTACTTCCATCAGCTTGTAATCCAACAATGACTCCATCAAAGACAGGTTTTTGGTACAGCTTTACACTTAGTGCACTCCGACAAAAATAATTTTTCTCATATGATGTATTACTTCAGCTAAGTATAGCAGCAAAGGTATTTTTATACCACTATAAAGACTTTCATATAACTGCCACTGCTATACTGCATTTCTACTCAACTGAAATATGTCTTTTCATAACAGCTTATTCAACTTACATATTTTTTATTTTTCATTTTATTACAGCTTTGGGAGGTTGGTTTGTTGGTTTTGGGTTTGCTTTTTTTTTTTTTTTTAAATCTACAGGTATCTACTTGGTTGTTTGCAGCAATAAAGTATCTTACCTGTGTAATTTTACAGAGAGCAAATTGTAAACAGAGTTCTCCAGTCTCCTATCTAAACACATAAGCCATCCTGAGAAGTATATTCCTAAATGAAACAGGACTGGAAGCAGGATCTGATTTTAGCATTCTCTTAGGCTTCAGAATAAGAATCATGTATGACAGTGCTTCCCGAGCACAAAAACCCCTAAGTTGAACTCTGTAAAATATGCCAGCACTAACATTGACACAGTCAATGCAGACTAAGCACAATTCCTACTAACACGACCACAAGGATTCTCCTTTTGGGGTGACAAGAGAAGCAGCTGCTGAGAGGCGGTTTCACTCTCAGCTGTGTCAAGTACGTTGGACTGGACTGCCATTATTCCGACAGCTCCGGTAACTGGCTAACTCATAAGATCTACCCACGAGTTGGCAAACACCAGCAAAGAATGAAGCAGAGGTTCGGATACCTAATTCCATAATATGCCGGGCATCTGATACTTTGTATTTACTGTACTGTAATAAGTTTGCAAACATGACAGCAACTATTCACTATCACTCCCCGAAACAGGAGACAAGTTGGTCAAGGAAAGCTGAGCAGTTCACTGTAATAAACCCAAACAATCCTCTGACCTCGCGTGCTTTTGAGTCACTGCATTCAAGTATCACTCAAAGACTTCTCATTTTAAAAAAGCAATTAGCAGCCTAATATAAACACCACCACTCATGACAATTTCTAGGCTTTGCTCACTTAAAGAGTGCCTGCATTTGTACCCTTCTCTGCCAGCCAGACAGCCCAGGCGACACTTCTGGCCCTTTGGGATCCTAGCCAAGGCCTTTCCTCAGAGTTCTGACAATCTTTTTTTCAAAAACCCAACTCAGGTTAATTCTTCTCAAGGAAGTATGAACAAAACAAACAGCCAGTTCTCTGTACATCTGCTGCTGCTGTTTGCTTTGAAGAATTTTGTGTTTGAGTTAGAAGTGCATAGCACAGTGATTCAGTAAAATAGCGAATCTGATTAGACAGTTACCTAAACACAGACGTGTATCACTTTTTCCCTCCCCAACAAGAACAATTTACTTCGTGAATAACTGAGTGTAAGTTAGGAGCGTAAAGTGCAGATACCTATGTTGAGTATGTACTCTTCTGTAAAGGAAGTGTCTCCTGAACAGATGGAAAGATCTACCTCTTCAACAACCACTAAACATAGGAGGAAAACAGATATGCGCCAACAAACGAAAGCATTTCCATTTAGATCATTTCTCCCCCTAGATACAAGTTACGATGTAAGAATTAAGAAGCTTGCATGTCACTGCTGTATTTCCACACATTAGCCTTTATGAAAAACATACACAGGAAACCAGAAAATGGACTCTGCATCCCTCATCCTCCTTATATTTTATATTGAAATTGAAGACAAGAAATCTTACACCTGGGGCAGAAATTGTTCTGCTGGATATTCATTTCATTACCTCAGGGTTCCAGAAAGGCTGACATCCTGTTAAGTACAAACCTCTCCTGAACTACCTTTTCAAGACTCAAGACAAGTGAGGAAGAAGATGCTCAGAGAAACTCAGTTTGTGTCCTCTGTCAGTGTACACAGAATTCAGGTTTCCATTACAGATCATTCTGCTCTGGGAAATTCATATTTCATCTAAATTACTACTCCCTAGGAGCTAGAAAATTTCTTCAACTTGGTAAGAAAGGTGGGTTGGGGTTTTTGATTTGGTTTGTTTTCTTCCTTGGTTAAATGGTATGTCCAATTTGATTTATGGAAAAACGAAATGCTCTGTCTTCCTCTTCAAAACATAACAGAGGACAAGTTCCTTCTTTGTCCATGAGTGACAAAAGTGTAAAGAGAAGCTCCAGTGGTACTGGCACTTGGTCAGAAGGGCAGATTAGAGGAGGTGCTTAAAGTGTCTTGCCTCAACACTGGAGTGGAAGGAACAACCAATTCAGCCCCGCAGAACAGGGTATGAATGGTACCCTTCCTTTATGGTTCTAGGTCTTGACTAAATCTGGACACCGAATCTATACATAGTGTTGACAAGAATTTTGTCATTGATTTTAGTAAGACAGACTCCCCTTCAGCTGCTTAATACAAATGAAGCAACGGTATCTGAAGGCACACTGGTGAAGTTGGCTATCTTTAGGGTAGCTAAACTCCTAAAAGATTTATCTATCATAAATGGTAGCTGGCTGCAAGGAGCGTTCCATAAAATTCTCTACCTTCACAGCACAGGACTTTAGCTACGCGCCAGACAGTAATTCTTCTTTTGGTAATTGTGAGGATGAAGTGGATATGAAAAGGCAACAGAATATCTTTCTTTTCAGATTCAAAACACCTGTGCAAAAGCTAATGTCTCCACAAGGTGCTGAACAGAGGTAATGGTCAAACATGCTTTTGGGAAAAAACCCTGCATTTTTCTGTGATCATGATTTCTGATTATTTTTCTAATGATAGCCTAAAAAAAGAAGTTGCTGAAAACATTTTGTCATAAATCTTTCTAAACTTCTATTAAGTCTGTCTGCACAAGGACAAGCAAGCATTAAGAATATTTTTGTCCTTTTTATTTGATCTTGTTACCTGACTTTTTAGACAAGTTAGGAAAATTACTGCTTTTCCAACCATACTCCAAAAGGTTAAAATATTGTTACATTGAAATACAGAGACATACTAAACTATCGTTTTGAAAGCAAAATCCTCAAAGCTATTGCAGAGACACAATGTTCACTTCTTAGTGTTTAAAATACAGAAACAGTTTTGCCTTAAGACCAAGCCCTTGAGTCTGCCATCTGTACTGCACTTTATGCAGGGAATTTTAGAGGATTCTCCCAGGGAAGAAGACCTAAGCAAAGGGCAGAGCAAAAATATCATCTGCCTACACTTCCTAAAGAGACAGAAGACACTGAGAAAGACAGCTGGCCCTGAACAGAGTTTACAACATTTTGCTGTACATATAGAAGAAGAAAGAATAATTTATGAACACCATACTTTATGATTTACGATACTCAAATTACTCCTTTACAGACTACCAGGCCTACTTAAGTAATCGTTAATTTACAAAGCAAGAAACTCTAATACTTACATAGCTGTGACTCTTAAGGAAATCTGAAGGGTTGCTTGTGCAGACTTTATCCCCTTCCAAGCCAATTACTCTTTTACAGATATTTGATTTGGGGTCATTTGGGCTTTTCACAATTACAATATCTCCTCTGAGAGGAAAAAACAGAAACAAAACAAACAGAAGAACTCTAAGTATAAACTATTTGGCTGAATACATGTGCATCAACGTGTATACTCCAAAAATATTCACGTACATTAACGATACTTCCTTCTGCTGAAAATTCTTGTCTACGATTTTGTCTCTTCAGTTTTACTCAGGGTGCAATTTTACACACAGTTTTTTAAGTACATTTGGAGAGATTCTTTTTTATTTAGATCATTTATAAAACATTTAAGACTACATTTTAATTGACAATGCCCTGATTAAATGAATGCCATGTAACTCGACCCTTTTGCTACATATATACGGAACAGAACAGATTCTGTGTTCCTAAATGTTATTGTCCAAATGTTATTCTTCCAATGCAACTTCAAATGTCTGAGTTTGTAAGACCTTGTATTACTTTTGCCTCCTGATTATACACATTAGATTGTACAGTGGAACAGTCCACAAAATAGGCAAGGGCCTTGAGCCTGCTGTGCTCTACAACACAGTAATAAAATGACATTTGATAAGCGGTACTTACACCATTTGGTCACTTTCCTAACAACCTGTCTGAGCACAGCAATACCTACCACTTGGTTCTCAAGTAAGACAAAACTGCTTAGAGGGGGGAAGTTACATTCTCACAATAGAACTGTTTTAGGAAAAATAAAAAAAATGGGAATTCTTCCATTTTTGGGGCAAAGCTGTAAAAGTGACATGGACTATATCCTAAATGAATTCCGACAAGTTGCTCGGTGGCTGTATGTGCTGATTACTTTAGCTTCCATCAGACACAATGAGAGGAGATTCATGAAAAATTACAGTTTAGAAGCAGAAGACTATATGAAAAGTAAAGGACTGATAGAATGTGATTATTGATGAGCTCTGGCAAATGGAATGTAATCTAGTCTCAACAAAGGAGCATACTTTCGAATGCAATAAAAGTGGCGGCTAAGGTTCTCCGAAAAGACAATATCAGAATTTTGAATGGTTGGTTCCATTGAAGGTCCAGAACACTGCAAATTAAAAATAAATGAGAAAAAATTACTATTTCCAAGTACTTTTATCTGAAATACATTAATATTCAAATTATTTGCTAATAAATTAGAAAAGGTGTATTGTAAAGAACAACTAAAAAAGTGAGATCCTCCGAGGAACATGATACATTTAAAAGGTGAGGACAGTCTCCAGAGCACCTAACTCTGTTGCAGCTCCATTAATTGCTCAGGATTGGTCCTGAACAGCCCCTATGGGTTCATTTCAGCACCTAATCTGCAGGAAATTATTAGGAGCAGCACCTGAAGCTCTGCCAGCTTACCCCTTTCTTCAGCCTCTGTAAAAGAGAATCATCACAGAAGCTGCAAGAGCAACTCACAGTCAAAATCCACTATATCCAGCAGCAGTATCTGCTAGGTTTAGAAACAGGGAGGAGGGGGAGGCCACATAAAACACCCAGAAATCTACCCAGAGTTGGAAACAAAAGCATTTCCTATGGCACTGTTAGTGACTGCAGTCCTTCTAGAAGAACAGACTCTCTGCACAATGCTTAATTGTAGTTTCCATTTCCTTCAGTGATGCCTCAAGCAATACTTCAACAAAAAATGCAAATGCCTGAAGTAGAAATAACTTTCATAAAGGCTGGACCTACCTCCAAAAAAAAAGGCATTTACTAAACACACTTTGAAAAAGTTTAAAAAAAAATAAAAGAAGAAATCTGAAATATTGGCATTATCACATATAACAATTTCAGTAGTATAGTTTATTTTCTTTTAAATGTCATGAAAATGAAAAGTTACCACAACAATTCCTCCAAGGTACTCAAAGGCACAATGCGCTATGCAGCCATATTGCACAGTATACCCAAGAAATCGAAAGGTTTTTCCTAGGACATTGCGAAGCATGGTACAGTGTTACGTCGTTCAGATGGTTCTAGTCTATAGTAAAACAGAAGAATATCATTCATTTGATAACAAACAACCTAGCATTTACAAAACTCTTTTGTATCTAACAACGGATGAATTAAAAAAAATAAAAAGAGACAGTGAATAGCAACAACAAATAGAAGTATCTGAGAAAATGAATATAGTTTAAACTGAAATGCCATCAAGAAGTCTTTAGCTTACTATGCAGACACTTCCACATGTACAATCAATTGACTCCTCTTACCAGCTTATTAAGATTCAGTTGAGTAGGAGCTGAAACAAAAAAAAAAACCCTTTGCCAAACTACAGAAATTAATGGGAGAGAATGGTGTTGGTGCTCTCCGCTGACTGAGCTGGGCTTCTTTTACTTGAGACTGCAGACAGGCTTACCTGCCATGTGTCTAAATACCTGCAAGAGTTACGAGAATGCCCTCCTCTCCACCAGGCTTGGCTGAATGGAATCTGGAAAGCTGCAATCATACCTTTAACACAGGCTTTGATTTCCTGACTGGACCACATATTGTAACTCAGATGCAGTTATTTATTAAATAACACTCGACAGAGTTGTTTTAATCACATGAAGAGAGTGCATCACTGTTTTTCTTCAAGCACTAGTATTTAAAACTGAACACTCAACAGCAAAACAGAGAAGCATCAAACCATCTAAAGTGATCTGAAGATACTTCACAACTGAAATTGCATTCACAGAAAACTGAAGTAATCAAGTAGTCAACCAAAACTTTAAAAGCAACCTGACAATCAATCAAATGAAAATAGGCTTGAAGAACTAGACAAAATTAAGGCTTGCCTAAGTATTACTAGAAGAAGAATACACTTGTTGATAGGAATTCTGGAGGCTTTGCAAAGCTTTAGTTTGACTAGACTTTCATTACCAAAACACTTGCATATAAAAATAAGGCATTAGGTCCTTCTGTTCTCAGCTACAGTACAGTGGCATAAGTTCTGTAGCACCTAAAAGGACTCTCTAAATATATGATCCCCTCCCCAAAATATTTAAGTCAAACTCTGATGACTAACTGCAATTACTGCAACGTTAAACTGTTTCCTTACCCAAATTTTTAAGAGGGGTTTTTTTTAATATATATATATATTTCTATTTAAGGAATTGGAAAACACACATACTGAAGTAACTGAAGCAAGTCTTAAATTCTGCAAGAAACCTGTCCCCCTTAAACTCGGTATAAGCTTTATCATGAATTAAAACCACAGCAAGATCTCCCTCATTTAATAAGATGGGTCAATATAGCTTGCTAAACAAATACAGTAAGCTGGAAAAAAAAAACCCTGCTGCATGTACTACATGCCCTACTTCATTATTAAGTAAAGACCCCACCTTCTATATTTCATGACATTTTGCTATTTAAATGCAGGCATTTAAAAGTGCATAGCCTTACTTGCACAACTCTCTCTACAAGTTAATGGGAATTTTGCCTGAACAGAGTCAAAAGTGGCTTTTGTTGTTTGCATTTAGTATTTGTTTACAAGAAAATAAGATGACCATCCTTGGGGGAAAATGTTCTTTACCAAGCTCATTTCCTTGTTCCAAAAAAGATGTACTTGCTCCCTGCCCCCCGCAAAAGATCTCCAGAATAAATCCACTTAAACCAATATGTGATTCATCATCCCTAATATTAACTAATGAGTTTCACAGTAATGAACCAAAATACAACAGAAAACAGAAAGTCTGGAATTGTTTCATTAGCACATGCAGTGCCCAGCACGCTGCAGGACACCCGGTAGAAACTGAAACAGCTTCGCTGTAAGAGAAACGCGCTTTCAGCAGAATTTATTCTGGAGAGCCAGAAAAGTGGTTTGCTTTTCTAAACCCAGTACGTTATGAAAAGCATGGACCAACTCCTTGCTCTCAGGGCCAGAAACACTGTGAACCCAGAAATGTGATACGGGTGATAAAAGCAAGATAGAGTGACAGCAGATCAATTAGAGCTGCACAACTAGTGTGAATGAATGACCACAACTATCTTCTGTGAGAAGTACATCATCAATACTTCCGAATGGCACCTGCTAGAAAGGCAGCCTCGCATTGCTTCTCAGACAGAAAAATACTGCACAACCATCCTGTATTTCAGATCCATGCTATTCAGAAATGTTAGATTAATATATTAAGACAGTACAGAATTCAGGCACCTGTGGATATTACCGATAAAAAGGAATTGTATAAACACTACATTGACCAAAGCAGGGAGATATTGTTGATTGCACCAAACTGAATGGCAATGACAGACTCATTAAAAGAAAATGTAAACTTCTCATGCCAAAAGTTATCAGGCTATAACTAAAATAATTTTTTATTATGAAACTAAAGACAACTGCTGTACATCTCTGAAAATCAGTTTCAAACTGATTGCAGTTGATTTCCTGTTTGACTCCGGATGACATGTACTTCCCAATAGTTACACTGAACACATACATTTCTCTCTGATGTCTCTCAGTAACTCTGAATTAAGAGGGATAGATTTGTAAATTATTCAAGGAAACACAGGATTCAGAGTGAGCTTTACCTACTGCTAGAGCTGTCATGGTATAAAACTAATCACAATAGAACATGAGTGAAGAAGTCTCAAGTTTTGTTCCCAGTTCTCTTAAAATAAATTCTTAACCCCCGAGACATGGATTTCACTAGTCCCAGTTTATAAATGTAGCACAATGGGTTTGGTTTTGTTTTTTTTTTTAAGTAGTCATGCTTATCAGATGTTCATGATAATGATGAAAAAATTCTTAGCTCTTACATAAGGCTTTTTATTACTACTCAAGAAAGTTCATTTCAAGTTAAGGCATATATCTAGTACCTAGATTATACACAGTTTGAACCTAACAAAATAACTTCAGAAGATTGGGGTTTTTGCTGTTAACATTAAGGTGCATCTTTAGACATCTAATGTTCATTCCATAGAATAACTACAATCCTGAAAGCTTCCATGTAGCTTTAAGTAACAACTTCTAGTTAATAAGTGAATGGTTGTAGTAAGAGTAAGCCCAGTCAAAAAAACCAACTCTAGTTTATTAAAAGAAATTCCACAGAATACTTATCTTACACTTGCTCTAGCATCAGTAAAATATAATTGTTTCCTCAGAAAACTATTTATCAGTACATTTTTAAACAATGCCATCTTGTTGATCACAAGAAGGTAAATGGCAGAACGTTTTTCCACATCACACAATTTATTTTAATACAAAGTGCTGTCAGCAGGCAACTCCACCAGATACAGCATAAGACCATTAAGCACAATAAAACAAATTATTTAAGTCACAGGCCCCTTGAAAACTTAATGGATCTGTTGTATAAACATCCTTATCGCAGAACTAACGGCATAAAACCTGCTGTAATTACTTCCAGGTACTACCTACTATCATATGGTAGGTAGCTGAAAATTTTATACTGAAATAGACATTGTTTTTATACCAAACAGACATTGATTAAAAAAGGTTACACGTGCATATTTATCATGTAGAATATAATTTGGTTAGTCTACAAGAACTGTATAGTTTATCCCCTGCAGCAAATAAAATGCAAAATGTAATTACTATTATCTTCTGTTCCCTCTTCCTTACATAGCCTATGCCTTCATCATTTGATTTTTTTTTGTTTGTTTGTTTATAAAATTAATCACAGCTAGCAGGGTGGAAATCACTTTGAGCCTCATGAATGACATCCAAGAGATGGGAAAGGATTAGTTCTCAGTTGCTGCCAGTTATAGCGCCAGGTGGCTTTTTCTGCAGTGAAGGTGTTACCGATAATCCCATTACATTGGTACTAAATCTTGCAGACATCAAAATTATCACCAAGGTTCCTTTTCATCCCATCCTTTCCAAATGACTGGAAGTCGCTTCACCTGAAAGAAGTCAAATCCACATGCAGCTGCTGTTTTAGCAGCGAGCAGACTCCCTGAGAATGCCAATCGTGATCCAATTTCGCTGTGCTGGTGGCCCCCTATTCCCTGTCCAATAATACATCTGTTAAAAAATCCTACAGCTACAAATCAAGTTTAATCCTACCAGGGACCTCATGTTGGTCTTGTCTTCCAAAAAGGCAGCAGGTTTTGCCATCTATCTCTGCTAGTGTCTGGGGAATACTCTTTAAATCCCAGCCCTACTTAGAAGAATAAGCTAAGGATCACAAAACATGACCTCAAAAACCCTGATATGACTATATTCTGACCCAGAGGCATTCATTCTAGGTGAAGATTAGAACTTTGCATAATAAGATTACACAGCAAGTGAATGATATCAAGGGACTATCCATATGCAGCCGCCTGGTTTTCTATAGACAGCCTGTGCTCTGCAATATGCAGTGCAGACGAAACAGAGCTTGGTCTTTCTAGCTGAAATAAAATAGATTCACATAAATTAGTTGGCCATTTCCAGATTCCTAAATCCCCTATTACATCTTTTATTGACAGCTCCTGTGAGGATAGCACAAATGGTATTCTCTTTGTATTCTTTGCTTCTGTAACAAACACGCTCTGAGGGAAACGTAGGTAGGTTGTCTAGAAATTAACATCTTGTTTGCTGTAATCTTGGATTACAATTAACTGTGTACATAATAAAATTAGGAAATCAATGAGCAGATTTATCATTTCCAGATAACCAATGGCACCGTGTAAGACAGTTTAACATATAGTGCCAAACATTTAAATACAGGAAAATCAAAGTCACAGCCAATCAAAATGTGCCTAAACAGATTATTGGACTTGACAGTAAATAGATTTTTCACTATAATAAAAAATTCCCAGTCACATTTGCTTTGCATAATGCTTCTTAATTCTGAAGTTTCACTGAGTATTTAGTGATAGTTTATCAATTTTTCCTTAGCTAACAGAAACTCCTTTCCTAACATTCTCCGCTTCTAACCAGACACCTTTCTTCACGCAAGGTAATCCCATAACTTGCACGATCTCTTTCCCAAAGAGTTACTCTGAGATTATTACTTTAAAAAATCCAAAACCGCAAAACAAAGAAAAAAAAAAAAACACCCT